CAACATATAATATATATGTATGTATGTATATAACATTGCCAACAAATAATGCATACACAAACCAACCATACATATGAATATCCGTACATGTATATATGTCACCTGCAAAACTACAAACATTGTTCTACAAACAACAATCGTCACAAGTCAATATGTCGACCAAATAGGGAAGCCCAAATTTATAGTAAATTGCACAACAACAACACTTTCATTCATGAACGCAGGCGTACTTTAAAACAACCTCGCTTCATTCATAAAAACAGATACCCTCTACAAGCGTCTTTTCACGACGATGGCGAGAAAAATCATATATTGAACAAATTTCTGATATTCCCTAGAGGGAAAGTGACAACCCTCAAATATGAGTATTAAAATATTTAGAATAAAGTGACAACAGGTATATTTGTCGATTTACAATTCAAGAAACTTTAAAGAAAATATTCCTCGATTTTGTATACAGTAAGCCCCGTTAAGATCACCCTCAATTCCCTCTTATCTGCCTGTGCTTGTCTGCATCTCACGTTTTTCTTAATTTTTAAAGGAAAACGGTAACTTTTTAAATACATAGAAATTATTTTTGTCCAGTCTTTTAAGTACCACAATCGCTTATGTACTACAAAGCACAAAAATCTGCAACTTTGGTTTGGCACATAACCGGTTTGACTGTATTTGTCAGAAATGTGCGTATGTAAATATGCGAATTTTGACATCTGCCCGTATATATGCACATGACTTATGACTTTGTTTCCATTTACGCATGCCACGTTGTATATGAATAAGGTTGATTTTGCACTTGTCATATGCGATGTTGTTTGTAAAAGTGTGTATGGTTCTGTTGGTCAAGTTATGTAAGTTTTGGCACATTGGCATATGCACGAAATTGAATTGAATTCAATCCAAAATGAGTATTCCTTCTAAAGTAAAGACAACTTTATTGTTTAAATAAAATGTGTAACTTTTATTACTATTTTTCTTAAAACGAACAATTGAGGTTTTATAAAATTGTAGGATTTATTTAAAATTAAATAAAATTTTATAAAATAAACTGATTTACAATTTTCCATTAAATGGAAATTTCTACACGACTTAATAACTAATTAAGTCAATTATTTTCACCTGCTTTTTAAACACAATTTAATCCATCTTGATTAAGTGCAATATTAATGTTTAAAAAGCTAGAATGCAACAGTAATAAAAGAAAATGAAAAATCAAATATAAAATAAAACTGAAATTGAAGAAAAGCTGAAAATATAAAGGACTGAAAATAAAAAGAACCTGTAATAGAATAAATAGCAAAACATTGAAAAACGTAAATATTCTTTTCATTTGGTTAGTCATTACTCACGAAAGTAGAATGTTCGTTAATGAACAGGTCTGACTTGCAACTATAAGTTTTTATTTTATCATCGCGCTTCCGATGTCGTTCCCATTTATTTCGTCTTTCACCAACCATTTTGAATTTTAAACAGAAGAACGGTCACTAAATATTCTAAAAGTTTGGTTTATGAGCATAACACCTATCGGACTTATTAAACCATTCAGGAAAACCTTTCGGTTCTTTGTGATAGCAGACAACATCAGACAACGAACATTAGAATAATGAGCATATTCGTTGAAGAGCTTGATCGCACATCATTTGCAGTCGACACACTCAAGACCTATCACAATTGACCAGCCTTAAATCGCCGTCATCCTTATAGTTTTGCATTAGGTGCTCGAATAGAGCGTTAAATCGCTCTGTGTCTTTGTCTTGCCTCGACATTTATCGCAATGAATTTACACAAATTTTCTGGTAAATACCATAGCCAGTGTAATACCGCTTGACTTGGACGTCAGTTCGTCGTCTCTTCAACGAAATTTTCTCTGAATAACAAAATTTTCCAAACGAGTTACTCATATTCCTGATCGCTTTCCTGCACATCTAGATGACGATCTTCGGCCTAGGTAATCTAAATTACATCGTCATCATCCTCACAATTAGCCCCCTTATTTTCGAAGTTCTGCCTTAAAATTTTCATCGATATTAATCGTCCTACTATATATTGAATTTCATGGGCAGTGGGATGGGTACCCACCATGGGATGGTTCATACCCAGACTGGCTCGGACTCTATAAACAAATTTTCCAACGCATCCTGATTCAATTTCCCAAGGAATATATATTTTAATTCCTTTTGATCCCTAAATAGCTCATTGGACAACATTATCATAGCCCTAATAGTTTTAACAAAACCGTCAATACATTTGACGCGATTACTATTAGGAAATTTCATTGACTTTAAAAACTGTATATGATCATAGAGCCGTTGGACCTTCTCGGAATCATTTCTTAAAAGCGGATATTTTAATGGATTTTTTGATGCAAAATTTTTGCAGTCTAAATCATCGAAGAGATCATTCATTCTCTTCACAAATAACTGCGTGGGCTTGACACATTTTTTTAAATATTCGTCAGAGCCGAATAGATTTTTGCTATAGGCCATTTCTATGCCAGCCTCGACCGAATTACTCAGAACTTGATTTGCACGTTTTACAGACATTTTTTCAAAGACGCTGGGATATATGTGGGACTCTGTTAGTTTTGGACAAATCTTAAAATGTGTATTGCTCTGATCGATAGAGTATAGTTTTTAATAATATTGAAACTGACTATTCCATCGGGACTTGAAATGTCATATTTCATTAACGTATTGCGGACAGGCTTAAATAGGTGGCAATAATCATATAAGCAATACACTTTAGAACCTTCGTGCATGTAAAAGGGGTTTTCTTCAGAAATTTGCATTAAATTGAAAATTGAAGAGTTTGGTCCCCCC